GTCTCGCGAGTGGGTAGTCACCGGAGCTAAATCAAAGCCTTTCAAACTAGACAAACGCTAAATGGGTCAAGTAAGAAGTCGCTCAAGAACAGAAGGGCATGTCAAGCTATCCAGTGCGTTAACTTCACTTCTAGAAATTGATGCTATAGTAAGGTCTAACTTAGGGGGATGCATGTCACTTCCCCTCAGACGAAGCGGCGCAACTGTAATTCGTCAGATTCACTTCGACCATTATCTGATTAAGGTCGAGGCTTCGCAAACATTAGCAGAAGCACCGAGATAAGGAAAATGGCAACCTTAGCGGCCTTGCTGGCTTTTCTCCAGAGCTCCTGCGGTATTTTGTCTCACTGCCACATGCAAGTGCGTCTGTAGCCCACACACCGGCTGAGGGTTTGAAGCTTGTCGCCGAAGTACCGCTTGACAGACCACCGCTGTTGACCAACCCAGCTGATACCTATGGGCGTGGTTTCAGTAGACTAAGCGGATCAATGCATTGCCATTCGGAAGATAACCAAAGGACATGCATTGTTCCGGATGTGGACAATGATGTTGGGACCTTTTGCCAACTGGGTGGTTAGATTATGGCCACTTGGTTGCCAGACCAAATAAGATCATCCCAAGAAAGTTGCTTCAAGGATGTCCCCTAAGATGTTCCAAATCGAGTTGGGACTGGAATAGTAGATGTGGATGTTCGTTTTAGCCTGCATCGTTGAGCCAGGATAATAACCATGATAACTGCAATCTAGGCCTGCAATGGCTGCCCCGATACACCGATCACGTGAAATAAGGAGGCAAATACGAATGATAAAACGCATCAAGAGCCAAAACAAATGAGTAGGTGTAATAATGTTTTAAGGGAGAATAAACTAATATATGAAGGTGAGAGTTTGAAAGTGAAGGCCAAGCGAGTCGAATCAATGTTCAAACGCATTCATGGATAAGACGTGTTAGGAATCAACTACCCTACATGGTAAACGAAAGTACGTACAGACTCTATCAGATCGAGACCTGTGTAACTTCATCGAGTGGCTGTGGCGAGATGGTAGCCGAGTTGGTTGAAAAAGCGATTGATCATGCCCGAGTTTCCAGGTGAGTATGCAATAAGTTAAGATCATTCGCCGCGACGGCAATGATAATACATTGAAAAAGTTGCCAGGTTAAGTATATTTACTGGCTACGATAGGTTCCGTAGCCAATGAAGCATCTTGGTACCAACCCATAAGCCAAGCTATTAAAATGGATAACAACCCGACAACCTCAAAAACGTTTCCTTTCTGGAATTGGAAAATCCATGAACTGCGCTGCTGTCGGCACATCCCAGCACTGTTTTGTAGTTATCCGATTAGTAGACTTCCTACACTGATATTCCGATGACTCACTCGAACACTGTATTCGTATCTGGTCATTTGTAGGGAAGCAGCCCAATTCACCATGTTTCAACCGAAGTGGAAGGAAATGGAGAAGGAACAGAATTTGTCAAGGACAGTCCAAGCAAAGATCATTCACTGATGTATGTACGAGATAAGCAATGTGTTCCGATACTACGGAGGTGGCTTGTACTTTAGCCAGTCAGACGTTTGGTTGTATATCCGGCGTTCAGTCCGTTTACTATACAATGGCACAGACAATTTTTCAACACTTCCTGGATCCAAGCAACTGTGCACCGTGGCAAGCAAAGCCGAGGTGCGCAGTCCACTTAACACGCTGTGCCCAGAGCATCTCCATGACACAACCGGCGATCACCGCATTGTGTAAGACGGTGTATGCCAACACAAAGTTTAATGGAATGAATGGTTAAACCATCTTAAGCTTTTGTAGGCGTTATCTTCACAAGATAAACTCAGGCCCCCACGGTGGGTGTGCAGAGACGTGTGCATGTAGCACAATCCATTTTCAGTCCAGTGACTGGTTGTAGACATGTTAAGAGGCAGATCGGGCGGACCAATGTCACTAGACATTTCTGTAGGTGCAAGCAATCTTAAATAGCAACACAACCCAAACAGCTGAGTACATTAGTTACAAATCTCAGTAGGACCGCGGTAGAATCGATGGTGATACAGGTGTCACGTGGGCTAGAAGCTGTTAGAGTTTTCACCGAGCCGCACAAGATGGGTATGGTACTGCCTGTAAGTCACTCTCATGGTAGACACAGGTGTTACAGCAGGTTTCGAGAAAACAAGGGGTTACGCCTCGAGCATTGGTGTGACTAATGAGCCTATAAGGAAATATCGGCAGTACGCCAGAGCCTAGCGCCACAAACTGTTCATTGTGGGCTGGAACCGTAAAAGTTTGCCCGCGCATCTACGCAATCTCGAACTGATGAGCTGTGGGCTACACAAGCCAAACGCCACCAGAGACTACCGCACCCCTTACCGACAAAACCAGGGACGCAATGACAATAATAACCTCTGCTATTGTTGACACCATAAGGTTAAAACAGTTAGTTCCCTTTAATTATTTGAAAAACAGAAAGGAGACGAACATTAGTAGATGCGCGCATTTTTTATCATCTCGTCAGTACCATTATGATAACAGGAAACAGTCAATGTACTCAAAGGGTGTCACCAGACTAATCAACATCATAATCAGTGTCATCTGATAAATCACGTGTACATGAGTGAACGGCGGCTATAGCCCTCAGAACACGGCAGCCCAAGAGCTACACCCATTTTTGTTTGCACACATAGGGCCGGTCTCATTTGGTTGCCATGGTCTCGGTGAATCGCAAGAAACGCGAACTAGGATGACGCAATAGAATCTGAAACACCGAGACACGGTTAACCCGATGATGAGACTCCCAAATGTGCCCGTCTATTGATGACGCTGGTGGCTTACGTGAGCTCGGAGCCTTTGAGGCAGGTTGGTTTACCTCCCGTTGAACCCAGTTGGGCAGGTGTTCCTTCACTCTAGAATTCAAAACCCTCTTGGTTCTGCCCAGGTAATTGACTCCGCAGCCATATACATATTGGTAAATGCAGGGGGATTTGGCGCCGATGGGTTCCATTTCCTTGACTGAAGGTAACATCATCTGGGTTCTGTTACGACTGCGCCACCGGCGTAGTATGTTTTCTGGATGGTAGAGTATAAACACTTGGCTGTGCTCATTGTGGCGGCTTTGCCCTTAAATGGAAGTTTAATGTAAACCTTTTTCTTAGATTCTGTCAACATCATTTCTTTCGGCTGTCTGGCCTGACTGCGCATTTAGATGAAAAGTTTAGGGTAAGCGTTTTCCATAAGTGTTCTGGTAATAGTCTCAATCTTTTTAGCCAAACAATCAGTTGAATAAATTCGTCTGATACAGGAAAACAGTCTTCACCAGCTTACCTTTGTAACCAATTGGTGTGAAGCTCGTAAAGTGCAGGTATTGCCCAGACCATGTCGGCTTTCGGTGTACAGACCGCCTAACGAGCCCGGTATCCCTTCAAATGATGAGAATGCCCAGAAACAGAAGGTAATTATTATACTCAAATTCATGAGTAACTTTTAAATTGATATGGACGCTATTCACCTGTCTGGCCAGGCATTCTATGTGTTATTGAGGAACCGAACACGAGTACCTCATCATCATACTGCTTGTAGAAAGGCAGTTGCGAAATCTACCCGCTCAGTTTTCCTACAAGATCAAATATCATACTCGAACAATGTGCTTTTGGTCTGTTGGGCCCGTTAGGCAACCGGGTAAAGGATGGATTAGTGGTATCCATCGATTTTGAACAATTGTCGTCGTCCGTACAACCTGGTGGCGGAAGTGGAGATCAATTTGTCACTCTTTACCCAACAACCAGTGTGTTGGTGATCATTTGGGTGGGTACGAATTCACAGGACGTTGCCACTTAGTACCGGCTAAGGTATGCGAAATGTATACTTACACTTGCACGAGTAACGATTTGAAGCTAACTGGTACTGAATGGTACTTGTGAAATTCAGACTACGCGGTTAGTTGAAAGATCACTTAGAACATTAACTAGGTCCTAGAGGCGAAGTGAACCGAGACTCGAATACGTAACATAACAAATCTCGTCATGCGAAAAATTAAAAGAGAAATGGAGATCATTTTTAACAGCTTAAGAGACCAGTTGAGTGATTGAGTGAAATGGATCGGGTGCAGCGAAGACACGACTGTTCTCTATTACACCATATCGGTTAAAGTATCAGCCGTCGAGTGTGACCGGAAAATGTTGTCTTCCCGTTCATCCATCGAAGGCTACTACTATTCACTGGGTTCCTGGAAAACTAATGAAGTCGTTTGTACAGGTGAGAAAAGGATTAATCGCACTGTTACCGGTTGTTGGTACCGATGCAAGCGCAACGTACAAGGGCGGCGCTAATACCCTTATTTGAACGAAGTGTGGAAACGGACAGAAATAAGCTGTTTCCTCCCCGAAAGACTGCGGCTCATTCTTACAAAACAAGGGTACAAAATTAACCAAGCGAACATCAGTACATCATTCTTGGCTGGGGCTATTGCTCGGTAGCCAACTAAACGTTGTTCTATCTAAGTTCATCAAATTTCATCATGTCATTCGATCGACCGTGGTGCCAAGTTAGACTGATTGTAAAGCCCTGGGATCAAAGGGATAAGGTGGTTAGCGTGATTCATCCTGTTGCAACGTGGGTGCCGAATCAACAGATTCGCTTAACTGTAACCTCGCAGATGTATTAGCCACCTGGCAGGAAAGCAGCGTGATTCAGTCGACAGACGATGTTCCATTACTGCCAACTGCGTCGTCCGAAATAGATTTATTCATAATGGAACACGCTAGGAATATACCAACATATCGATCCCTTTCTATTGTCGGTATGACTGATCGTGGTGCACAGACATACCTCAGCTTCATTGATTAGTCTCGAGTCATTTGAACAATAGCATTAGCATGCGGGAAGTAAACAAACGCTAAGGTCCCCATACGAAAACAATGAATATGTTTCATATTGGCATTCGAAAAATCAACGAAAAATGAGCCTTGTCCAACAGCTAGGACAACAGCACGGTGACTTACCGTAGGAAGAACATGGTATATTTGCGCTGTTAGGAGAGCGCCGTCCTCGCAACTGATCTCCTCAGCCAGACAGGAACAGCACACCACAGCGCGCACCGACTGATCCGACGTCTTCTGTCTTTAAAAGAAGCAAACTCCTTTTTTAGACAGACATGTCACAGAGGGGGTATTGGCCATTATTACGTGTAACTTGGCCAAGTGCGCCCGATCCCTGACCGTTGCACATGTGGGGCTCAAGGTCACTGGACGTGTTCACCGGTATACTGCTAGTGCACAAAGCACGAAGCCGCTATAACTGAAGCAGATCTCACAGTGCAGTCTGCCGGATCACGTATACAGGTCCACGCACTCACACGATAGACGTCCGTGTTCACGGACACACATACATACTCACCAAGTCACATCCATCGCGGCCTTAGAGGGCATTCAGGGTCAAAGTGTCCTTACATCACTACTATTTGGACATGAACGCGCAAGCTGCCTAGGTTTTTGGATTGGTTCATTCAAATTGCATACGTGCCGACACTGGCTGCGTATGCCTATGACGTCCAGGCCACTTCAATGCCCTAGCTTCTTGCAACGATGAGGTCATCGAGACGCTGATTGGTTAGTAGGTCGCTAGGCCTTGGCACGACCGCACGCGGCCGTAAGGGTTCGACATGGTACACATATCCGTGACGGTACGCCGGCATACCGGGCGTCGTGTGCTACCGTAAATATCACAGGTTTGTCTACGGTTGAGGAAGTGCAATCCTGACTCGTGCCTCCAGCGGAAGGCGAATGCCTAACCTTGACCTAGAAAGCGACAACGCATGACGGACTGTATACGCATCGGTGATAACCGACTAGGCGGTTGTGTTTAAATCGGGTGCGGTTATCACTGCAGTCGCAAATGAGGTTGCAAAAGTTGAACTGTGCATCACAGAATTATGTGACGTAATGGTGTGTCTTAACCGTAGTAATGCTTCTCCTCTCCCTCGATACTTTTGTAAACTCGGCTGTAGATCAAACGGTCGCAGTTTTCGGTCGTTGTTGGTAGTGACGTATACGTGCATTTAGTGCCAACAGAATGTTCTTGATTATTCGTCGCAGCATGCTACTGACCGATCACATACGGTGAACCTGTACAAAGGTTATTTTTTCCCCGGTAGTAACAAGCTATCCCGCTGATATATAGTGTGTTTTGCGTGAGACGAATTGGGAGAAATTGGTTTGAAGGTATTCAGATGAATTACTAGTTAACCCGGAAAACTGGGTAACCATGCCATCTAAATGACAACATTATTGCAAATATTTCCATAAAATCCTGATTCAATTGGCCTACAATGTTCCAAGCACCAAGATGCTTTGGACCAAATTGCAAAAGCTTGATTAAAAAAACAATATTTTGGAGTGAAAACTAAAGCGGAAGGTAAAAGTGAAGAGGTAAGTTGTGGGGGTATAGCAACTAACTCAGATGCATCATTACCGCAGACCGCCATTTTAGCAAATGTTGCCAAAGACAGACGAACGTAGGACCTATATTATATGGCGCGTCCAGTAACACTATCAGGGCTCGAGGAAGTAACTGAGCCGCGTACCTTCGCCTTAGTGAGTCACATTCTTGTCAAATGAACAATGATTTAGGACTGATAAAAAGCGGGTGTTTTACAAATCCCGTAGGATGGTTGGGGTAGAACCAGAAAAAGCAAAGGGTAAGTGAATTGTCATTCTAAGCGTCTACCGTTTCACCTGCACTGTGACATCACGATAATTTGTAATGGGAATTAGATAACCGCGCACCAAATAATGCGGGGAGTAGTTTTGATGTGTTCGTGAGAAAAATACAAATGGCAACACTCACTCATATGCCGCCTCCTTGGACCGATATGATAGTTAAATCTAGTTTGGGTGTATGCTAACTAGACTTCACTGTAGCAGTGTTTAATAAATGTGCAGAAATTGAAATGAGCATGTTAGTTAGCAGCGTTGGGTTGACGCAAGGACATAAAAGCCTGTATAGTGCAATATAAACGCCTAAGATTATCATTGAGACGTCTTTTGCATATCTTCAGTGTGGGGGAAGAGACAACGTAAGCAGGGACGGCATTCCAAGTTTAGCCCATAAGAAGTGAAAAGAAATTTCTGCTGCATTCCAACTTGCTATACTGTGTGGTCAGGTTTAGCTGGTAACCTCACAGAGTCCTACTGGGAGTCAGCTACCAGAGGTGAACGACAACCATGGTTCTGATCCTTCAAGATCAGATATGCCATTATCAAATTGCCACGCAGGCGTCAAAATTCTCCACTGCAGAGTCGGAGAGTTTTCAACCTCAGTTGGTAAGGGAGATGAAACAGACTCTTTTTCACCCTTCGTTGGGGTTTTTCATGTACGGTGAGGTCCTGGTTGTGCCAGGGCTGCCAGGCGTTGATGGCATTATCCGAAAAGGGCCTAATGTAGACGTTAGCATCTATGAGATTGAACGGTCAAAAGACCGAATGCTCTCCGCACAAGGTCAAGTGTTGGTTAGTTTTTCAATACTTTTTCGGCCTTACGTGAACAGTCAAGATCACCTTATACCAGCAGACTTAGGCCTCTTTCATTAGAAGCGCGCTGTAAAGCTTGATCCCCAAGCCTGCACCTGCAAGTGCATTGATTGCGTATACTCAACGTCTAACACCTAGTGGTGTGAAATGAAGCACTTTCTGAGTCGCTGATACGTATACCCCATCAAGGTCATCGTGAAGCACTACGTGGTTGCCAGTGATTTTGATGGCTCGCTATATCTTGCAATCATTAGAGACGAGTAAGCAATTGGAAGTGATCTCTCTCGTTGGATCATTTAAGTTAATCCGGAATAAGTGTGGACTAAGTAATGAGTCCTGTGGCGCTCCGCGCTAAAGTCAACAGGGTCAAAGATGGCACTGCGAACTCTCACATTCAGATATCGTTGAATCAGGAAGTTGCTTATCCATCCGAGAATCGGGTCACCAGTTTCACAGCTTTGAAGCTAGTGAATGAGGATGCGGTATTCAGACCGTCGAATGACTTTGAGAAGTCCAGGTAAAGTAAGTCAGCATCCACAGCTCTGTCGACGGTTTCACACCAACTGGAGTAAGCAAGTAACACGTTTCTGGTGCTGTGGTGTTTCTTCCTTCCAGGTAATTAATGAGCGCTTCGGCAATAATGAACTCCACGCCAAACCTTTCTTGCTTGGTGACTATCGTAACCATCTTTAACAGCAGTGACCGAAAAGTACACCACAATTGTTGACGGATTAAATTCGGCTGCATTGCATCCAAAGGTTTCTCTGTCTTGTTCGTGAGGTTCGGCCCAGTACTCGAACAGTTCATATGCGAAAAATAAACTGGGTTCCACTCGGGTGGGAACCGCGTTGATTGCATCTTCACAACCCCCAATAGTTCGGTGACGCCAAACTTTGGTGGGTCAAGACTTGTTGGCTTCCTGCACGTACGATCTGCGTTCGGGTCTGTTGCAGAGCAGACAATCTGTTCGAAACATTTGTAACCAAAGTTTGGGCTGCATGTGGGCATACGGGGATTTTGCGTCTAACTACTACGGAGTAATGATTTATCATATGTAGAAAGGTTCATGCGTAACACGTTACGCAGATTGGTCATGGAGGGAATTACAAATTTGAAGACTACACAGGTAAACAAACCAAGATGTGCGTCCATAAAGCAACAGAGCAACGACATATTAAAATAAAGTCCGTGGGAATATGTTAGCATCATTCAATGGGTTAACATGGTTAATCTTCATTGTAAAAAACAATCGAGTTACTCACCCGTCTTCACCGATTTTAGTGCGTAGGATAGTTGGTCGAAATGAACCCCAGGGTAACCGGGCACGTGTATAAATATATTTATATAATACTAATTGTAGAATGTCACACTACCCGCAGAAGGCTAGCATAACACTAGCTCGCCAGCCTCAAACCAGCCATTCTCGCAAATCCCATGCGGCAATTCGAATTTTTCGCGTACCAACACCATCACCTAGTTCGATCCCATGATTAACCGACAGATAGTTTACATGTACAAACTGCAAACATTTCCCGTCATACTATTCTATCAATTATTTTTCTAATTACAGTGCATTTATGCTTGCTACGCTTATTTGATCATGCCTTAACTGGCGTGCATCGTTTCATAGAGAAGATTTAATTTATTTGTGACCTCTACACCTAAGACACCGGGTCACGACGGGCAAAGCTTGGCACAACGGTTTTAATGACAGATTGGAAAGTCAATCTGAAGTGCACGTTTTGTGGATGGAATGCGACAAGCAATCTCAAAGTGGACCGCGATTCACATTGAAGTGAACCTTGGCCATTCGATCACTAGGACCGTAGCTGATGAAGCAGCAGCAATTTGGGTGTTGCCCGGCTGAAAACACTGCAATCCATGACGCGTTTCGAGGTTATCTCCGCTCATCAGATAGAGATAACAGGCGGGCAACACCAATTGTACTACTACTTCATCAGCTACTGTCTTACTGATCGAATGGCCAGTGGCCGGTAGCCGGTGGCCGGGTGGTCTTGCAGCCATAAAGTCACGGGTTCGAATCCGCGTAGGGATGGGCGTCCTCGCGGTATACTCAGCCCGCGCGACTGGTAGTGGTCGCGCGGTCAGCGAAACGCCGTTACGGTGTACACCTGACACTACTCTATACCATTTTCGCAATTCGTCCACACAACGTGTACTTCAAATGGACTTTGCAATTTGTCATTAACCGTTGTGCCAAGCTCTGCCCGTCGTGACCCGGTGGCTTACGGGTAGCGGTCACAACTAACATCCCAATGGTCCCGGGTTCGATGCCTGCTATCTCTATCTGATGAGAGGAAATAACCTTGAAAAGCTTCATGGAGTGCAGTGGTTTCAGGCGGGCAACACCCAGGTTGCTGTTGCTTCTTCAGCTACGGTCCTAGTGATCGAATGGCCAACGTCCACTTCAGTGGGAATCGCGGTCAACATTGCGATTGCGCACCACAAGCCATCCACACGACATGTACTCCAAATTGACTTTCCAATAGAATTCATTTATTTATCCCTGGGGACGCTGTATTCTAAACAACCGCCACGTAGCTGTTTTTGCCAATCTCAGTGTCTGATTCGGCGGATGCCTGTGCCGACGCTGTGAGTTTATAGACACTAATCCAATGTGGAAGCTCTATGTTTTAAATGCGAGTCAAACTGTGGGTCACTGGTCACATGGTCGCTTGACCTGATAAGCAGCTGGAATTTTTCCATGCGCCACTTAACATTTCCATCCTGGACAGTGGATGGTAGCTGGAGCTCAAGGATGTTGGCCGACATATTCCGATTCGAATCGATCACAACATGACTGACAAACACCTCAAGACAATTATGCTAGCCTGAAGAGGGACCTTGAAACCTGATAGTCTTCTAGTGCATGGCAGCTGGAAGTGGCCACTGCCCTTGGTAACAACCGTAAATTATTTTGTCTAGTAGGAGAATCGGGCAGTGAAGACCTAATGCCAGTTAGATAATATGAGATGAGTGTCGACAACCTATCCACAGCT